ACCAATTTTCCTGTCATGTGTCGGTCGCGAATCACACTGCGCACTGATCGCTCATCGCTTCAATACCCCATCAATTTCTTTGTTATTTGATGACAACATCGTCAGCTTGGTTGACTTTGATCCTAGCCAGTAAGGTATCCTTTGCGGGAGAACTCGAGAGCACCCTGCGCCAGCGTGCCCCACAACAGTGAGGGTAGACATTATTTCGATTCTTCTACGGTTAGCGTCAAACCGACAGGGGTTGGGGGTTGGGGTGGGGGTGTCAAGGGCTTGACGCTAGGAAAATCGTAATTGCACCACAATCAAAATGAGGCAAGAAGAGTTTCAGAACGCCTTCAAGTCATCAGAAACGCGCACCAAAATGTGTGCAATGGCGCAAGTGGGCCTGGGGGCGATCGCAGCGCTCACAATGGCAGAGACCACGGCGCATGGTGTAGTTTCGTGGCTGCCACGAGTCCCTCTAGAGCGATTCGCCAGACCTGGGGATCGCAGGGCCGGCCAGAATGACCCACCAACCCACGTCCAGGGGTTGCCCACACGAACGACGCTCTCGCCTCTGGCCCGCGTGCCAGGAACATGCACCGGTCAGACCCCTCCCTGCTCTGACGCACAGCCGACCATGCACAGCGCACCCAAGCCAGGGGTGTTTTCAAGTCGAAAACACACACAGCGCCCCTCATGAGGGGCTCATGTGCTGATCAGGACAGCCATACGGTCACCAGCAAGGTTTCACACAAAGTGCGTGTCTGTTGCCCGTCCAACATCGGCCTGCAAAGCTGGTTGTCGTTGTGACAAAAGCGACGGTGCGCGACTCTACGATCGGGGGGGCTGCAAGGCTTCTCGAGTCCAATGTGTTCGTCATCGTGATAAGAGAATTCGCATGGAAAGAACCCAAACGCAGCTCAGGCGCCCGCAAAGGCCGGCAGAGAACGCCGCTCTCATGGCATTGTACGTTGCGTTGCGCCAACCTTTCTGGCGCTGTGCGGACGCTGTCTGGTGGGAATAATGGTGCTTTTTGGTGTGTCGCAATACATAGTCTTTAGGTACTGAAAGAGGCTTCAAAATGAGGACTGGCGGAAAGGAGGGAGGAGGTGGGTGGGTGGGGGTTGGGGGCGGGGGTGTTTGAGATTAAAGTAAATGTGACGCTGAGCGCACCAGAATGAAAATAATGTCCTCACTTAAAGAACAGACCAAAATACACGGTTTTGTTAATCGTGCGTTGTGTAACACGATTGAAATCGTGTGAAAATTGTATTGAATTGTGTGCTTGTCGTGTATTTGTAGTACAAAAATTGGAACAAACCGTGTACTAACGACTGATTGAGTGTACGTGAGTTTTGCACGTCTTGACACAGTTTTGCACGGGTTTACATGGCTCGAAACCGTGTATTTTGGCCGGCTTTTTACTTGTGCCACCTGCCCTGTCCAAGCCTATCCTGCCATGTATAGCTCCACTGAAATTGCTCAGAGATGATCAGTCGACTGCCTCACCAGCAGTCGTTTCCGTATTAAGGAGAGAAAGGCAACCAGCGTCCTGCTGCCTGGCGCTGGTCCACCACGGTTGACGACGGGCTCCTCGCCAGAAAACTGGTTGGTACATTGTACCAACAGAAATAACACATACTGCCGATTTGATGGTGTCTCACTTGTCAAGCGAGGCGCCGGCGTCTACACACAAGTAATACACTCTGCCGATTTGACTCCAACCAGGCGCCTGGTTGGCGTCGAATCGGCAGAGTGTATTACTTGTGCGGAGTTGTGCAGTTTTCACCTGAGGAACTGTCGATGCAGGCCAATGCCATGACCTGTCACCGCCATCCCCATGGCCCTGTCAGCAAGCACTGGTGAGTGGTACCAGAGAAGGAACTCATTACATTGGAATGGCATTGAATTACAGACCGCCATCAAACGGATGGATCTTGCCCCCGCACGGATGTATGTAAGACGAATGTAAGGTTGCGCAGCAACATCAATGGACTTGTAAGACATGTGAAAGTACCAAGACCAAAAGGGTAACAAGAGTCCAAAGACAGAGATGCGCACACAACAGTGCTGTGCAAGTAGCGATGTTGCAAACACACATCGTGCCACGGGCTAGCTGCCACTGACTTTGCGAGAGCATGTTGTAGCAGTGTGTAAATCCCATTGCCTCGAAACTCGGGAATTGCGTTCACTCTCAAGTGCATTCGCGTGGCCCAATGCTCCATAATGTGCCAATGTGTACAATATACACAAATGCACTGCATATTTATCCACATGCCTCACACGGAGTACACTGGTCCTTTACGTTTACGGGAGTTCGGAATGCGGCCCACCACAAACGAAATGAATTGTAATTGAAGGTTAAATGCAATTGATGGGCGCTGCGTAGACGAGTTGACTCAAACTCGTCTAAAGACAACCCGTCTAACGCAGACGGAGTCAACGTTGCAATTGACTTCACCATAGGGCACCTGAACACATGCAACGTCTGGGTGCATTTTCTGGAAGTCGAGAAACAACGACACCAAGCGAGACAATCCATTCCAGAGTTTTCAAGGCGATTGTGTCCTTTATGCCACTTGGCTCCTGATGACGAGATCCATTCTCTCTTCCACTGCAAAGCCTACGACAACATCCGTCGAAGCCACTCTTGTATTTTTCGATGTCGCAATGCGAAAGTCCTTTTTGCTTCAGTTCCAGCTCGCCACCTTGCGAAGACACTTCGTTTGATGCATTACCATCGATTACCGCTTCTCTACATCGAGAGTCCATAGAATCATAGATTTAGTTTGTATTTCTCATTAGATTTCAATGAACCAATCACGACTCTGCTTTGCTCAGGCAAAATAAGAAGCTGACGGCTACCTCATTGCCTTGTTCTGTAAATAATGATGATGAACACACGCAACGGCATTGAAAACGAGTCCTATTCGTAACAGAGATATTTATGTCATTGGTACACAACCAACCCGTTGCCGCGTTTTGCGAGGATCACTCGTTAGACAAGTTGTCCTTAGACCAATTGTCCTAAGACGACTTGTCCTTCAGACCAATTGCCCTTAGACGAACTGGCCGGACACCCCCTAAATGGAGTGAGATTCGGTTAGTTGCGGGATGGAGAGGGAGCTGAGTTGGAGAACAGTGAACTGACTCGGGGTTGAGTCACCATCAGTGCGGCATTAAGTACTAAGCGAAGCGAGGGCACAGTGCAAGTGGGTCGCCAATCGGGTCTTGTATTAGTGAGGTGATGGACACCAGCACATTTGTGAGTGTAACGTCCTGTCGCGTGGGGAACACAGGGGGGTGTTGGGGCTTGAAGGAGAAAGGCAGAAACATTACTCACAGACATTTTCCCTTTTGAAAATCCACACCTTGTGTCGTCTAATCGATGGATCGAGTTGCGCTGCCGGTTCTGTGCAGCTTGGGCTTGTGGACACATGGTGGGCTTCACTCACATTGTGACGATGCCACTCAGCGGAAACCGTGGACATGTTTCTGGACCATCTGAAGAAATTCGTTCAAAGGTTTAAATTCAAAAGAAATACACGTATTCACCTGGCGGCCGCACCGCAGATGGATTCCATCGCATTCTGCCCGTCTATGCATCCCATCGGGCGACGTCTCCTCCCAGCTGCCTACAGGTCCACAAGCCACTGCCCAACACCTTGTCCAGCCCGCCACTAGAACACAAAGCAACGTGCTGACATCCGAGCGAGCGCCGGGCCCCAAGGAACCCAGTGGGCCCAAGTCCCCGACGCTGGTCGCTGTCGACAGCGCCAGCACGGGCGCGCACCTGCAGGGGGCGTGGCCGCTCACGCGGAAGCTGCAAGAGCCGCCCCCGCCGGGCCGCAGCCCAAAAAACAAACGTCAAAAGAAGAATCCCTCAAGAGATGGCGTCCAACCAACCCCCGCCGCGATAAATTAATTCGTCTCGTGAAGTGCGATTCCCATCTGCCTAAGTGCGTCCCATCCGTCGACGTTTCCTACCTAATCCGTTGGCCCCTACTCTTCTCAGCCCACCCATGCCCTACGGCCTCTCCACCCTGTCCCTATCCACCCCGCCCATCAATTTTCTGAAGTCTTCCTTCGTCCTGCAGATCAGGGGTGGCGCATCTGGGTTGGGGCTCGTTCTTGCCACAGTGTGCCGCCTCGGCGCCGGCGCCTCACCAAGCTTCGGCGCCCTAATACTCTGCGCCTGGGTCCTTGCTGATGCACCTCCCTGTTCACACCAAACATGGAACCTGGACTTGCTGTTCACACCAACACTGACACAGTTGAGCTGGCAACGGGACATCGACACGAATATGGGACTTGCATCACGACCTGTGTGATATCCGCATCACTGAACGGCAAGGCGCATTCTCTATCTGCTGGGTTGGGCTCCATGGACACAACTTCCAGGTGTCACCCCCGTCCCAATAGAAGAGTTGTTAGGCTACAGCCAATAAGATTATGCAGAACAATGCAACGCCTTGAAGGTAATTCGTACCAAGCTAATGCTTATTGGTCTCGAAGAAGAGATTGTGCATTCAAATGGGATTGCCGGTTGTTGTGTGATTCACCTACTGTTCTACAAAATGGCTGGATCCCCTTTGTCACTTGTCCACAGATGTCAAACAATTTGCTGGGGGTCATGCTCACTGTCCCAGAACAAACTTCTTCCCAGACAATCCTCACCACGGAACATTGTATTGCACTGCCCACGGTGGAAAGGGGGCACACGAGTTGCTGCAGACACATTGTCCAGCATAGCCTCCTGTGAAGGTGACTGGCTGGCAATACCTCTGCCATTTAAAAGCAATCGTCGAGAGAGTACTTGAACGGTGTTGCCCCCACCCCAGGCGAGTGTGTCAATACGGGTCAATAACATCAGCCACAATCAGGGTCCTGACGGGTCTAGGCCCTATACACTCAACACCCTGTCACAGTCCAGTAAGGCCAGACAGGTTCCAGTCAGGGCCCTCACTGTGACCGACCTTCCTGATGCTTAGTGGTCAGGCACAGATGCAAATGACGAACCCGCACATTGTTGGAAATCTACCAGCAAGGCAAAGAGGCACAAAACTGCCTTAAGCTGAAGATGCCCTGAATGCTGACAAACAACAGCCCATTAACCCACTTGATCATTGTTCCTCTTCTGGCCACCTTCAACCTCCTCCCTCCCTTCCGACCCGGCCTGCGCCATGATCTTGACGTACATCTTCCGCAGTTTCTCTCCTGTGGTGCCGTTCTTGACAAGGCTGGCCACCAGGTTCCACACGCCACGCACAAAGTCCTCCTTCTTCCCTCTAGTCTTCTTGTCTATGTGCTGGCCCAGCGTCCGAAGGTACTTTTTGGTCTTGCGCACCAGACGCTCTTGGGGCAAGTCAACTATGTGGAGGGCGCGCAGTTTGGTGACCTCTGTGTTGACGGGCTCAAGGATCAGTCTCCACTGGCCCTCATTGACATCACTGCCCTTGCCTGGTTTGCCTGCACAAGAATTCAGACATACCTGTGCGCATTTCTGCAGTGACACGATGCAATCCCATTCCAGACTCAGTTGCCAAAGTCCTCTCCCTGGTGCTTGGGTGTTTGGCGCATGGCGAGAGTTGACTGAGTAATTCTATTGTGCAACGGCACATACATATGCAGCCAACAACATACACAACGCCACCCCCATGACTGCCCCATTCCCCAGTTGTGGACCAGCTTGTGTCACAGAAATGACAAGGGTTGGCACATCTTCGTCTCAAACCATACGGCAACTAGCATCAGCATCCTTCTCTGATGCTCTGTGTGCCGCACTCAGCGCTGCAAAACTTGCCGCTCACCCAAGGGTGGACACAAAGCACACCGCGCTGGCATCGCATTTCGGATGCATACATGGCTGTCATCACCTGCCAGGTGCCAGATCCTTGCTTTGTGTTTGACAGGTAGCAAAACCAAAGGAATCAAGCTGTGCACTTGCCAATGTGCTGTACTGCCACTACCTGAGCCGTCTCCCTCCCGCCTTCGTTTGCTCTTGTCTCCAGCCCCCTGCCTTGCCTCCGGCTGCGGCAGAGATCGCTTTGTGGCAGCCCTTCTTGCCGGCGTTTCTGCTGGATCTGCTGAGCGCCCGCTAGTGCTGGGCAAGCGATCGGAGGACTTTGGTCGCTTGGTGGGCTCCTTGGCTCTACCGCCATGTTCCTTGGCCATCACTGAGTCATAGAGGCGTCGCAGCAGGGCCGCTATGCGCACCTCAAGCTGGGTCCCTGATGCAGACAACACGGCACCACCATTGAATGCAATGAAATGCCGACATAAACATTCACATGCTGACACACACCTTCCCTTGCAACTTATCCAGCTATACCAGCATTCTAGCTCTGGACACTTGTGGCTGCTATTAGTGACTGTATGAGTTGCTTGGCACAGCAGACTGATGCACAAATCGCCGTACATCGCATTGCAGGTGCCAGAGTGTGATCTGCTGGCGTTAGGAGATTCTGTCCAGTGATCTGGGCTGTAAAAACTAGAAAGTGTCTTCCCTGTTATTTGAACTCGTCACAGGGTTTCGTTCACTTGGTCAGATATGTTGATGAAATTGCTACCCTTTCTATCCCACAACATATGGACTGGGCTTCCTGCTCTCCTGGACTTGTCCTATCAGCCATGGGCAAGAAGCTTTCTACGACAATGCCGTTCACCACCTTGTAGGTGCCCAGGATGACCAACTAACTGTATCTGCAACTGCCACACAGAGCATCTGCACCCGTCACCAAAGCCAACAAACCAAGAGGCAACTGGGAGGCTTAATCGAGGCGGTGAGAAATACACAAAACGGTCCCTAGATTCCCAGCTTCCAGAGTTTGAAGGCGGTCAGTGCTGCTTTCCGGCACATGTCCTGATCAAAGACATAAACTAGTGAAGGCGTATGATTGATGCATGTGGGTGCATGGCAATGCTCAAACCCAGTGGTGAACAAAGAAGAATTGCATCAGCCAACTGCAGGACTGTGGCTGCAGCCATGACTCAAATTGGCGCACAAACGACATTCCATCTGGTCCAATGGTCTTGCTTGAATGTGGATGGAAAGCAATTTCACAGTTCTGCCATCAGCCACCAAGGCACAGGTGGCAAGGTCATCAATATGATGGGCATTTTTCTGTTGCAGAACAACAGAAAAAATTTCCGACTCTCAGTTTGCTGTTGCCAAATATGGTGAATGAGTGCATTCTGTATGTGGACATAACCTTGAGCCCCCAAGGGAAGCATCTCATTCAACAAACGCACTCAACGGATTTCTACATCTATTCCTAACTTGGAATCAGAGATATTCTGACAGTGGCCAATAACAAGGCTTATACACAAATAGTAGCCGTTCTCAACACAGCTGCACACAACACACACCATGACCATTGCCTGGCTGTTGTTTTAGACACACACAAGAACTCCCACCTTTAGGACCCACGATCATCCCGTTCTGACCGGGCACTCCTGCGTGGTCGTGGAAAGCACTGCGCAGCTTGGACCCAAGCTGCAGCCTGTCGTCTCCAGCCATCTTCTCCCATCCCCCCAGCCCATAGAAATACACCCCAAGCAGCAACATCGAATCGTCCCTCGATGTCCAGGACACAGATTCAGCCCACCTGCAGTGCAATGAACAGACAGTCTTGGACAGAAAATGTTGATTGCTGAGTGACATCCATCGCTGCCATGCAGGGCACAGGGGCAAAGTTTGGCATACTTTGAACACCAGTTTGGGGAAGCGAGCAGAAAGCACCTTTCTTCTTTGCAGTACTTCGCATTTTGCGCAGTCGTTTGTTGTACCCTCTCTGCATGAAGGGTTGCTGGCAAATGCAATCGAAAACAATGCCTCCACAGTGTGCTCGCATGGCATGGGGACCGGGGTGTACCTTTTTGTCAAGCACTGTGAGGCCCCTGAGGACTCCAGGCAAAGGGGTTCTGTCTCATAGTATTAACCCAGCAGAGCGTGCCACGACCAATGTGTTTTCAATGTTACCACAATGGGTGCATCCAACAAATCAGTCCATCTCCACAACTCACCTGGGTAGAACGGGGAGTTCTGACGTATCTAAGCGGAAGTTCAGGGGGTCCTTGACACTCTGTATTCTTGCTGCAAGCACCTCCATACCGTTCAAGTGACTCAACAGGTGCTGGGCCCTCACAGCCTCACCAAAGAAGTCCAGCTTGGCCTCCTAAGGACGCCATACACATATGCTTCAGTAGGATTGGTGTTGAGGGCTTTATTTAAAATCAAATGAGGCATGATCCCCACAGCCCACCTTGCAATCAGGTAGAATAGCATGGAACCAAGGGACAAAGCGAGAAATATAAGGAGAATTAACAACACAAGAATCGCATGGGAAGCAGAGCACACAACAAAGTCATGTCTGTTGCTGCAGATCCTGCTGTGCACGACAAAATGCTCTAGAGTATTGCCTGTGCCGGTGGCGCACCCTAAAGCAGCAGCTTTAGGGGAGGAGTAAAGATCAATAGGCATCCTGCTGCAGGGTACACCTAGTCCAATCCCTACAACAGGAAGCCTATCAGTTCTTGTATCTACCGTCCCTTTGGCAGACTTGCTTGGGAGCACCAGCAGTGCAGGACCCACTTCCGTGCACATTTGCCAGTGCATTACACAAAGAACCATAGCAGTTAGCCATCAACAACCTGTCCCTAAAATTTCGAAAGCTCAGGGAAGACAGATTAAACTGGCTGAACTTGTCAACAGCATGTTCCATTACATCTGACAGCTACTGCCAGAAAGCAAAAAACTGCCCCAGGTCTTGCAGAGCAATGGCAAGCAACTCCAACGTGAGAGTTTTCCTAAAATGTTTATTTTCCGAAGCAACTGGACAGCATGTTCAATACCTTGGGATCAGCAGAGCCCTTGACTGCTGACTTGCAGCCATTGACCAAAGCCTGCCACAGTGCAAGGCGAGCATCCTCTGACGCCTCGAGTAGCACAGGGCCTGTGTCTCTGGCAATGTCAAGCAGGCGTGCCTGCAGCCCAAACCGCCTCACGGCGCGCACGAATGCTGTCGCATCACGCTTGGTGATTGTTTGACTTGGGGCTGATTCGCCACTGTTCTGTGGGGAGGCCTGCACCCACATGGGATGGTGGCATCAAATGACTGCAGATGTTGCTGTGCATCATTGCTGAACAAAGCGCATTATACAGAAACGAGTACGAAAAAAGCTTCTGGAGCATCAGCAATGTGCAACGCATTGTAGACACTGAGATGCTCGAATATGTTTAACATTCAAAGGTTATTGCGAACACCGGTCCGCTGTGTACTCAACAAAAGCTAAGCAAACTTGAGAATTCTATTTTCACGCTTAATGCAGGAAGACAGCCTCCCCCCCACCCCCGCCCACCTACCCCCCACCTCCACACTCCTCCACCTGGCATAGTCACAAGTTGGTCCAGCAGTGTTCATCCAGGCATTACACAAAAGCCAGAACATAGGCAAGCAGGTCCCAGCTTGCAAATCGCCATGTGCGCAAGTGCTGTGCAGCACATTGGAAACAGGGACACTGAAACCCCAGTACTAAAAACTAAAGACAAGTAGCACAGCCAACTGCGCGAACGACAACAGCCCGCATGCAAGCCCCTTACACCAATGTCTACGATCATCGCATATCAGACCAACGAACAAAAAGGGACAACTGGTCGAGTCAATGGGCGGAAGCAAAAGGACATTCTGGACGCCCAGACGCCCATCAACGCCTGCCAGCTGCACGGGCTCGGCAAGTGCTTCCCCAAGGCAAACCCGCCCCCCGGAATCCATCGCCACTCCCACCTCTTCGGCCCTGGCGTTCTCCGGCCAGGCGTCGATCCTCAGCACGGCTCCGGACACCACGGGCGCGGGCTTGGCCGCCGACGCCGGCCGCTTCGCCCTCTGCCCGCCCTTCGGGTTGCGCAAACCGGACGGCTTGGGCTTCGGGGACCCCACGTCCGACCCGCTGCTGTGCATCTGGGCGCCGACGGCCTGCTCGGCCTTCAGCCGGGCCGCGCGCGGGCCCAGCGCGGCGGAGTCGAAGACCTGGCCAGGCACGCGACCGACGTGGACGTCAGCGATTTTGGGCGCGAGTCGCGAACTCCCGCCGACGGCAGGCAATCCAGAGGCTCGACCCCAGACGCTGAGCGCCCACAGGACCGAGAACTGAGGCAAAGACGCGCCGAAGCTGCTCCAGGGCGGTTTTCGCCGCCGCGCCATCTGTCAAACATCCTCTCACGGCGCTGGGGCGGGCCCACCTCCCCCTTTCTTCCCGTACCCCCCGCCCCCAACCCCCCACCCACCCACACTCGACGCCACACACACCGTCCCGCCCGACGCTTCCAGCGCGACTAGCTCACCCTTCTCCACCGACGACGCCATTCAAGCCAACCCCCTCTCGCCACAGCCCACGGTTATAGGAAACAACTTTCGCCGTTGGACTGGATACATCGCGCTCAGCCCCCGCCAGATGAAAGCGTCCGGCGCCCTTTTCCAAGCTGCACAAGATGACACGGAAGCAGAACGAGAATCGAAGGCAACAAAGAAAGCGCGGTCGCCAAAAAGCACGGCCAGCACGCATCTGGCTCCCGTAAGCCCCAACCCTCAACAGCGACCCCACCCGACCCCACTCGGCAGCTTCGCCTGCTCACAGCCCCCTCCCCCACCTGCTGCTCCACCGGCCGCTTGGACTCCGGTATGAGCCTGGACCAGAAGGTGGAGTCGTCCTCCAGGACGCTCCTGAAGGTGGCGACATTGAACTGGTTGAGGAAATCCCGCGCGCCGTTGTCGTCCTTGGCGCTGTCCACCACCTCCGCGCGCTCCAGGATCGTGTCTATGTCCTCCTCCAGCATCTCCTGGGGCTCCTCGGCGTCGTTGTTCTTGAACAGGTCCTCCGCGCCGAAGCGCAGGATGGCGGCCAGCTCATCCTGGGCCCAAAGGCACGGCGGGTGGTGTCGGGAGGGAATTGTGTCGTACGACGGGTCACACATTCAACCAACCGAGGGTCACACATTCTAAGGATCACGAGAACCTGACACCAGCACGGATTTGGGCGAGAATGTATTGGTCCCTCTGCCTTCCGTGAGGATCCTTTCTTCTTCCGCTGACAGGGCCGACGCCGGTCAGTGGGTTAGTGGTTTTGGGGTTCAGGTTGGGGATCTTCACGGAAAAGACCGAGCGACTAATTGGGAGCCGATTTGGGCTGCAGCTCGAGTTTCTTCTGCAGCAGTTTGGCTACTGGCTCCAGGAGACAACGAGTGCTGAAACGAGGTGACGAGGTCGTGTGAGTCCGACAGAACTCGGGCGTGCAGACGCGCACCCGAAAGCTGACGATTCAACGCACGCTATCGAGCGCCTGAACGTGTTGGGGACGGACCAGGCGCCTCGCCGAGGCTGATTTCTGTCGGCCAAGGTCGAGCAATCACCACGGAGGTACAGACGCTCCTTCCGCGGTTGGTGACGTCACTTCACAGCGCACGATCTTCTCGACGGGAACGTAACGCACACTTCACACACCCCAGCCATTCCCGACGCGCACTCTGCATTACGGCTGCGTTTCCCTCCCAGACTTGCAGCGGGCGGAAAAGAGTTCGTTGGCCTTGCCACAATTGAGTGACGCCGCAGTTCCACGCCAACGATCGGGTACACTCCATATTGTTATTCATCTGTCCGTTTCTTCTTTCGTCCGGGTGCACAGTGCCCGGCCCGTTGGAAGAATGAGGTGCGGGCACAATTTTGGAAACTTGGAAAATGCTGGCAGGACGGAGGACGTGACACAATGTTGTTGATACTCCAACTTAATGGCCTCCCTAACATGCACAAGCACAAGTGCGACATTATGCTTTGTCCTTCAAAGAAAGCAAGTGCACCTTACCTTGCCGAACATCTTCTTGATCGACCTCGTCCCCCCTTGTGGCTCCATCACCGTCCGCCCCGAGGTGTCCATTCTCTGTATCACCAGGTGGTCCAGCACCATTTTCTTCTTCGCCCGCTCCAAAATGTCCTCCTCCACCGACCCGCGGGTCACTAGGCGATAGATGTTGACCGTCTCTGTCTGGCCGATCCTGTGTGCACGGCTCATGGCCTGCAGGTCGTTCTGGGGGTTCCAGTCAGAGTCGAAGATTATGACAGTGTCCGCGGTCGCCAGGTTGATGCCCAGGCCGCCCGCTCGAGTGGACAGCAGGAATGCAAAGTCCTCAGAGCCGGGGGCATTGAAATGCTCCATGGCTTGGTGCCGGGCCGTGGCTGGTGTGGAGCCGTCTAGGCGCTGGTGGTGGTAGCCCTTCAGGCGCAGGTACTCCGACAGGATGTCCAACAGCCGAACCTGGCGATGACCAATCCAACAGGAACATTGGACAACCTTTGCATCGTCAAAACATTCAGCGCACAACATGAGATCATATTTCAGGTGGGTACAAACAGCAATGTGCCTTCAACCTCCAACAGCCAACAGCACAACATTTGAGCCCCTCTTGTTGTCTTCACTGTGCCCATGGCATTCGGTTGTACAGCATCTCAGCCAAGCAGAAGAAACAAACAAAGTGTATAGCAAGGACTCCAGACTTCTTTTACGCACATCATCAGATACAGCCTTGAGAAAGCGCATGAAAGGGATCCTGCTCCCACCATCTGCGAGAAGATCAGCACCCTGTGCCCCGTCTCCTTGAGCTTAGTAAGCAGCTTGTCAAGCAGCAATGTCTTGCCACTGGCCATTATCAGCCGATCCACTGCAGACTCGTCGCCCTTGCTGCCCCTGTATCCTTGCTCGGCGCTCTCAAACAGGAATGGGTGGTTGCACACCTTCTTGAGCTCTGAAATGATATTGAGCAAAGAGACATGACCACCACCACTTGTGCCTGCAGCAATTTTGGGGCCAGAAGCAAATTCAGCACCACAAACTGTTCGTATTCATCAGTTATGCGGAGCCAAAACAATTGTTCAGATGGCCATTTGGTAGAGAGAGCCAGACTGGAAATTGACAACAGAATAAGAGAATACATTGCCGAATAGAGCACCTGAAATGTGTGCCATTGCCAGGCCGACCTAGGAGGACATTGTTGCGCATTGGGTTACTTGCGCTTGCTGTGTATTTTCCCATATTGCAAGCCTTCATCATGAAAACATCCACAGGAATAGCAGATACAAGACTGAGACAGGCCAACAACCCTCCCAATTTCGCTGATGGTGAGTGACTGTGTCACATGTGGTTCTCACAGCAAATTGGAAACGGGATTGACGAAGCATCATTCTATTAACACTCGCGGGTTGAATTGCGATCAGCAAAGCTCCCTGTCAACTCAGATACACACATACATAGAAAGGTACAGCAACTGTGTGGCAACCATATAACGCATGCATGTGCATGTGTCGCAGACACATAATGCTCTTGGGCAGTGCCTCATGTCATGCCTCGGCACAACTCACAATGCCCTCTTCAGCCCCCATCACCTTTGTTGAGCTCCTCAAAATTGCGAGACAGTACCCATCTGTAGTACTGTCGCTGCAGAGGCGTTCTCTCCACACGCAGGATGCACTCCCTTTTGGGAGGCAGTGACTTCTCCACGTCCTTGATCACGCGCCGGAGAAGATAAGGCCGCAGGTCAGCGTGCAGCCTCGCCACCTGCCACAAAGGTCAAGTTGAGCAACAGTCAATTTGACCGTCTGACAGAGTGCACGCCACTCAACGACATTTCGCTCCTGCTCCATGTCGTGTTCAAATCGACTCTGAAGTGGTCCAAATGCTGCCAGGTACTCTAGGCCCCAGCAGCAGGCAGTGCCTGCCAGGCACCCCACCTCTTGAGGGTTCTCCAGCGAATAGTTCTCCTCAAATTCCTTGCAGTCTGGGAACTTGTTTGGGACAAGGAAATAGAGCAGCGCCCACAACTCCCGAAGGGTGTTCTGAAGTGGCGTGCCCGTGACAAGGAGTTTGTTCTTGATGTTCCAACCAATCATTTCCTGCGCCACAGACAGCTGCAACTCAGAAGCAACAGTGCAACAAAGACAGCTGGTGCAAACCCTCACAACAAGGTAGACCGCACACGAGGCTTTACTTTCTTCTATCATCCCATGCAACCAGGCTCATGTCACTCTGCAGATTTCATAAGTTGTGAGTCAGTCCGCCTGCTGCTGCAAATGAAACAGGGCAACAGCATCTTCCTCAGGGGGCTGCTAGAAAGCATGCAGTTGGCACAAGTTGCCTTCTGCACAGCACCAGTACTTGTCTTGAGTGGGACAGCTTCCATTCCGAAACGCGCCTTGCAAACACCACAGTACCATGAATAGCACCATCCTTTGTGTTTCCTACGCGCAAATGAAACTTGTGGAGGGGATCAACACCCATCACAGACAAATCCAATCAAGGGCAATGCACTGACATATGGCAACATAGGCAATTGAGGTGGACTTTTACCAAGCTTCCCCTCAACGTGTGGAAGCACAGCTGGACAATTGTTCATTCTGGGCCCGTGATGATGCGATGCAGGCTCCTGGCACGCAAAGGAGAAACGCTTGTTCCGCGATCCCACTGCACCTTGTATAAGGACGAGTCTGGATTTTTCAGCCTGTGGGCTTCATCCACCAGCAGGTAGTGCCACCGCACACGTCCCAGCACAGCAGCGTCTTTCAGGACAAAGTCGAATGTGGTGATGAGTACCTCAAACTTGAAGGGGCGGGTGGATCGGCCGTGATTGGGGAACTCGAATGCGCGGATCACCTGGCAGAACAGCAAGGTAATTAGCACTGTGGATAGCTGCATTTCAGCAGACATATGAGATTTTTGTTCTTTCTGGATGAAATTGACATGTGCGCACCGCCCTCCCCCTTACCTGCCTGTTGTCCCCAACAGCAAGAACAACAACCAAGGCATATTGCTTTCTTATGGTGCTTGGATTGCTCAAAAAGAATTTCAAGATCTTCTGGGCCTGCTTGAAAGTGATGGACAGTCTATTGCTATCAATTTTAGCACTTCCTTGTCCCTATGCTCCTGGCCAAGGATGGCTTCACAATGGGTCTATTGAAGTCTCAAAGAGTACAGTACAAGACTGAAGCCCTGCTGTCTATGACCGGCACAACACCATCAACATTGAGACCTTGGTAAGTGTCCCTTCTTCATCAAGGCAGCTGTCTGCTGGTCCCAGCAATACAGAAGTGGGCAACATTGACATCATAGATACAATGGAATACACCAATGCAAATGAACTACGATGCTGAACTATGCCTTGGCTAGGGTGGATGCCAACACTAACCAGGTGCAATGCTTGTGATAGCTATACTCAGTGATCTTCTCTTTGGATTCCACACGTCATGTCACTCTTATGAGTCGAGCTGCCCTTTTGCATAATTGTGACAGGCAAAGGCAATCGCCTTGCCCATGTCCAGTTCTCTGAAACAGACTGGAACAAGGCACCAAAGGCGGAAACCAAGTGTCAAGAATCCAACAAGAATCGATCCATAATTTTGCATCAAAGGCACATAGCTTGCTGCCCACCTCCCTGGACGACGAGTCCCCCACGTACACCACCACATTGACCTGTGGGCACCACTTCCTGAACTCCTTGATCCAGTTGGGTACTGTTGACAAGGGCACCACCACCAAGAACGGGCCCATGATAGACAGCGACTCTGTCAGGTGCGCAAGGAAGGCCACACACTGGATAGTCTTCCCCAGGCCCATTTCGTCTGCCAAGATCGCATTGTTATCTTTGGACCATGAGTAGATGAGCCAGTTAAGGCCATCGAGCTGATAGTCACGGAGCATGCTGCCACCACCCAGGTATGCAGGTTGCTGTTCCAAGCGGGTTCCCTTGCGTTGCTGGAAGGAGCGGCGCTCGCCATCGACGGGCCGAGATGGCCGGAGCAGTCGCTGCTCTCGATCCTGTAGCAGCCAGGCAAACATGCTGGTTTTACGTGCAAGGCAGTGTGGATTTTAAATCAAGCATGTCTGTGCAAAAAAAATCCATCAGCAATGTTATTTCAGCAGGGATACCACACATCGCTTAATGCAGACAAGGGATCTGCTTTTCCTGCCACACGTAAATCAAAATCGATTCAGAATCCAGCAAGAAGGGCAATGTATCTGTGTTTTGCACTGCGCTTGCATAGTCCAATGGGCCCCTGTGGCCTCTTCAGAAATGGGCGATGGCTCATGCATCAGCCCAAGACACAGAAACAGTGGCATGGCATCGAGGTGGAAACGGCAACAACTCATCCAGGACAAACGTGCATGTTTATGAACACGTGTGGTAACATCCATTTCATGACTTGGTGGTTCCTGGGCAGATACTGAAAACTATTCAACAAGGAAGTTTGCACCTTGAAAAAGCATATCTAGCAAAGATGCCAACATGTCAGGGACCAGCACATCTGTTGGTAACACCGCTGGACAGTCTACCTCATTAGAATGTGCAGTGCTCTGTCATGCACCAACAACTGTAACCAGAGGGGGTTTATGTACCTTGAAGGCATCGACCTCCAGCAGTCCACCAGCAGTGAACACATCCTCACTGGTTTCCCAGGTGCACTCGGCGTACGGCAAGCCCTGCCACTTGATGAGATACTTCAGCTCATCGTGCACCGTCCTGCGTTCTGCCACAACCCTCTCGATCTGCTTGTGTTCCTCGACGAGCTGAGCCTCCATCGCCTCCTCCACATCCAGCACCTCGATCTCCTCCCGACTCACACCAGACCTGAGGCTGGACCGCTCGTCCTGGGTCCTCATGTAGTTCAAGACTCGCTTGTAGCCTGTTGCGGCAGTCCGGTAGCAATAGCTCAACGTGTGAAATCAAATCATCGATGTCCTTCAAACGCACTTGTCTTATCACGGAAGAGCAACGGCCATGCACATCGATGGTGACAAAGGCAATTTAGAGGGCCTGTCCACTGTCGTAAGGAAGCATGGAAAGAACATGACCGACAATTGGGGATTGTATCACTGGAGGCCATCACATGACTGGTGCATGCGCTGTGGTGGCTGATCCAGACATGGTTGGAGCAACAATGAAGTCATGTCATGTGAGGTTCCACATTTTTGATGCATCGGTGTCTTGAACATAATGTGTTAAAATGTTTGTATGAACCGTCAACTGCAGACCATGGACACTAGCGTGAGCTGTGCTGATGGATCATCATTGTGACACAATGATCACTGTGCGAAAAAAGATAGCCAGTCAGGTACACCTGCAATATGGACTCAAGGGCAATGCAAATGACCCAGTGTCCCTTGTGTGCTTTGTGAAACACTTGTAGATATCAAGCAGAACCAGTGTTAATAAGGTACAGTGCCAGAAGCTCAGACTTCAGACTTAGAAATATTGGATCAACAGGTGCTTCTGCTGCCCCTTGCATTTTTCACTGAAAACGCGCTCTGCAATGTGCTCCTTCCTATGCTGCAAATTGCACCTCTTGGCTTGGCAGCTTCCAAATCACCCTTTCAATAATGCCGTCTTATATTAATACAATGCACAAATTTGAGTTTCAAGGTGAGAGTTATGCCACCAAATACCAGAAACTGCACCTGTTCGACCCGACTGCCCCAACTGCAGCTACGAACACGACTGCAACAGCAACTCCACGGATTGTTAAAAAGGATGGTTAAGACTTGAGCACCCAAAATCGACTTGCCAGTTGGCTGCTCTTAGGAGCCCTGGCAATGACCCCTTGGTTCTTGTAGACATTTTGAGATGGGTCACGCACAGGGCGCACCAGGAACCACAGTACACAAAATCTGTGTGAATCTTTCCCAAACATCATCAACAGTTCAATTATTGCAATACAGAGTGCTGAGCCTCAATGGAACAGGAGGCACAATGAAAATGGGCTTTGGGGTGCCACACCAACACATGCTCACCAGGAAGCTGACATAGTGTGGCACGACGATCCCAAGAACAGTGGATGTATGAGTACCGCTTCCACTTGACGTGAAACTCTCGAGTAGCCCAGGGGTCTGCAGGATCCACCAACATGCCCTCTGGGTCCCTGCCATTCCATCGCCTGTGTTCAGTTCTGGATGCCCCCAAACTTAACAGCAGCAAACACATGCAGCACCCCACTGTCCTTGTGCTTCTTCTCAACCCTGGTGTCAAAACGATTGCTGCAGCAACTCAGTCCCCCTACCAGTAGCATGGAGGCCTGATTTCATCTGAAGGCTGTGGCCAATTACCAGTCCCCCAGCAAGAGAACACCGAGCAATGAAGTGCCCCATTCCCCACTGCCACTGCCCGCCCAGATCAACTTTCCGAGGTGCTGCGACACTGCTCCCTCGCGCAGATTCCCAATGCTGTCAATGGATTTCTGCGCACGTGAACCCCGCAAGGCGCAAGGCACCCCCCCACACAAGGGCAACAGAAATCCTCAGAATCTAAAGAAAGCTCAACACAACACCATCACAGAAGGCTCCACAGAAGAACACAGATGACTACACAGAAGACAACGCAAGGGAATCGACAGAATACCCCGCAGAAGACTCCTCAGAAAGACCCGTCAGAGGCGCCCCACCTGTACCCCAGCACCCTCTCCACCTCGTCGTCCTGCTCCGCCATGCCCTCCTCCTCCAGCGCCGGCACAATCCGCCGCTTCTTCTTGCCGCCCTCCCCGTCCGACGTGTCGCAGCTGCTCTCGCGGTACGACACGCGCGCCACGGACCTCTGGCTCTTGCGAGCGCGGGGCGCCCACCTCACGTCGGGCTCGGACTCCCCGTCCTCGTCATCGACGCCGGGGACCCACGAGGCGCCCGCCCGGCGCTTGTTGTTGTTCTGCGCGCAACGGCAGAGTCAACGGCTGAAGAGTCAGGGCCAAGGGATTTATGGATCGGGTATCGAGGCTCCCTCCACGTGCTTCTGCACACCGTGTGACAAAACCAGGGGGAGAATTCCGGACCGTTGTTCCGCGCGAGCGCCGCTGAAAGGAGCGGGAGCGGCACAGCCCGCCGCCGTTCAAGGGACTGGGCGTGCGGCAGTGGCTGGGGGCTCCATGGGGATGTACGATCGCGCTGCGCAATCGTGCGCTCTTCTTTCTTCTGTCCAGGATTCGGGGCGCCCAGTCCCGGCGGCTCGCGAGGATGCCGCGCGCGGAGGCAGGCGGCGCCGGGGGTTGGTTTGGGGCGACGGGCGCGGAGGGGCCTCCCTACCCGTCGCGTGCTCCTCCGGGGTCGCTCCGCGTCCGAGTACCTCCCGCCCTGCGACGAGTCGCTGTCCTCGTCGGCGGCGCCCTGCCAGAGCCACATGACACGCCTGAGCGCACGGCCCACTCCCAGCTGCCCCGGCGCGTCCCGCCAGCGGCACATCGCGCGGCCTGACCGACTCATGGGCCCGCTCAATGCCGCGAATGCCCACTGCGTGCAAAGGGTCCGTGCGACCGGCTTTGCAAAATCCCGGCACGCCCGGCCGCCCCGGCCGCGCCAGGCGATCGCCGAGCCCGCTCCGGCGCTCGGACCGGATTCGATCCCGCGATTCGACCTGGCGAGGCGCACGCAGCGCAAGTCGTCAGGGGGGACCCTTGTCGGTTCCTCCGCCCCGTACCCCCCTGGCCCGTACTTTCGCGCCAACGGCGCCCGCACCTGCAGTCGCCTGTTGGCCTGCTGCGCCGCGCGCCGCGTGGGCCTGCCGGACTGGTTCAGCGCCCTGTCCAGCTGCCGGGCAACCATCAAGTCGTCATCCCTCCCGCCACCGCTCGCGGCCACCTGCCGGCGGCCACACGCCCCCTCAGCCCCTTCCGCCCAATTCGGCACCCAACGGCCTCCGATCCAGTCCCGGCTACCCCCGGGAGCGCCGAGCCCGGCGCATTCCGTCAGCGGTTCGCATCGGCATGGATAGTGAGCGGGGATGCCTTGGGCGAACTGATTTGTGAGCCTGGCCTCACCTTATCGTACACGCGCCGCCTGCGCGCGGACCTCCTGCCCTTGGGCCACAGCACGCTGGGCCCGCCGTCCGACAGCGACCCGCTGGCCTCGGAGTCGGAGGGTAGCTCGCTCCGGCTGGCGGGCTCGTCTGGCGCACAAAAACGGACCAGATTTTCATTCTCAGGGGATGCAAGGTCAGGAGGGAAAAGAGGGCGAAGGATGGCGCCGGAGGGCATCCGGGCCGGGGATCAGATCGGGGAAGGGGGGGTGAGCGGCCGCGCGGGAGGGGGGGAGCGGGGGCTTGCGCGCTGGCTGGGAGGGATGGGGAATGGGGGTTCAATGGGGGGGAGGCGTGCAGGGGTCGGCGGAAGGGTTGCGCAGGTTTACGGGGGCGGTTAGGGGCAGGGACGGGGTGGGAGCGGCGCACGCCTCACCTTCGAAGTCGCGGTCGTTGTACTCCTCCCTGCGAGGGCACGGGGATCCGGAGTCAGGCACGGGGCGTCGGGCGGTGCGCGTCCCCGGTTGGCGCGGCGCCGGGGCAGCCCTCCCAAGTGGGGCGACGGGCCGACCGGCCAACCCCCGTCCCGTCCGGGAGGCCGGGGCGCCCCGCGCTTGTCGGCGGGCTGGGCCGGCGCCGAGCACCCCGATGGGGGCCGGCGGTTGGCCCACCCGTCGCCACCACCCGGTCCTCCGCACTGGTCCATACAGGACGCACAGGCGGACAGGCGCGCCGTCGAATCCCCCCTCCGCGCGCTGGGCCTCCCAACCCTTCCCCTCCGGCCGCGCGTGCCCAAACCGCCCTTGTCCCCGACATTGCTCGCCACGCCACGCCGCGCCAGGCGGAAATCCGGCCCCGCCCCACCCACCCGGACTCTGCGCCCTCCTCGCTGTCGGCCGGGCCGCCGACGAGGGCCTCCCCGCCGCCGCGCCCGCCCCCCTCGCTGTCGGACGCCTCCCCCGCATCCCGGCCGCCGAGGAGCCCCATCGATCCCGGGCCGCTCGCCAGCGGACCCGGAACCGGTGGCGGTGGTCGAGTCGCGGCGCCCCGCCGGTTGGGATCGGCGGGGCGGCCAGCAGGCAGGAAGATTCGTAGATGCGCTTTTGGAAGAGCAGTGGGGACCAAAAGACAGGGGGAGAGGGGTGGGGGGAAGCAGGCGTGGGTGTTAGGTGCGTTCGCACCGGCGGTGTGTCGAGTGCGGAGCAACGCTGAGGTCTGCGGCCTCCACTTGGGCTGCCAGGTCGTCCGGGGCACCTTGTGTACGAGGGGCACATCTGGGCATAATGGGGGCCGCAGATTGGGGAGCCGGCGCGGAAGCCCCTGGTGGGTGCTGTGTGGGGGACGGTGGGTTGGTGATGGAGTGTGTTATGCTGATGCCGCACTGCCGCACAACAGGTGATGCGGTGATGCGGTGGTTGCTGTGGAACAACAGAACAGTGCGATTTCCGGAGGAAGGCAGATTTTTCTTTTCTTGTTGATCGAGTGCTTCAAGTTTCAGCCCCCGGGAAATGCTGGCCATTGCACAACTTGCGCCTCAGAAAGAAGAACTGGTTTGTGAACAGCTGCGAGAGGATGCCACACGTGGCAAAATGCGTTGAAGGGCAGCGGCCCACAACGGTATTGAAAACATGCCGGTGGAAGCGGTCCTTGATTGCCTGTGTGTGCGCAAATCTGTGATACAAGATCCTTCGATCCTGATATGGGTGTGAACTGTTTTGGTTGCATTTGTGTCAAAAGAAAACGTGTTGCCAAGCCATGCCGACGAATCATCAATCCATGTGGCCATCCATCCATGTGGTTGTGGATGCCCATAGATTGAGGTCGCCATCAATGACGTTTGCAACATGGAGATCGGGACAACAAAGGAAACCTCGTTTTCGCTGAAGATTAGGTCGATGTTACACAATCTAATAAGCTACCTTCATACAGCGGACAACAGCTTTTGACACAATTTGTGTTGGACTCACGTGGCTGTGAGAAACTCGTCCTGTAAAAGCGTGCTGTGAATCCAAGTAAACTATTGCCACAAAATCTCAATGCCATGCCTGAAATAGTTGCCATATATCGTGAGGCATCCAGCTGTCAGGTAAAGGGAGGTAGGGGGGCTACCTTTCAATATTTTCGTTTGTCAAAAGACAACAGCGAACTTCAGGAATCGCTTTTGATGAAATTGGCACAAAGCATTTACCCTGTCTGATAAGTGTAGTCATCAGAAAATCCAGAACAGCAGCGATGTCATTGGGGTGACCTTGTGGGTTTCCTGTTTGTCAGCGCATCTGAGATTAGCCCAGCACTACAGAGACACAACGCTTTGCAAAGTCGATACCCCATGTATTCTTTGCAGTGGTGCAGAGTCTCACACACACTTGTCCAGGAGGGGTTGCCCATCGTATGACCTGTTTCTCGTCCTATACTATACTATTTGGCAGCCTTACCAAATGTATTCATAGCAACAACAACAGGTGCAGTGTGCACTGCTTCCAACCCAAGAGCCCACAAAGGTGGACAAAGCATCGTCAGGTGGATGCCTGGGCCACGTTCTGAACATGTGCATGGCGAATAAGCCAGGCCTGGAAGGTGGGAAACCTGTCTTTGCTTCCATCTTCACCTTCACATTGAGTCACACAGCATGTCTGGCAAGCCCACTGTTCCAAACGCTGGGTAACCACACAAAAAGCTCTGTCCAAAGTTGTTTTGGGTTTTTCAACAGCCACACACCCCACAGGGCATAAATAAGGAATTGCACTTCTTCCCTAACTCCTTCACAAGGGTAGACTACTGACAAGGCTCAAAATGCCATGAACATGCCGAAGTGCACCAACTGGCCCACTCACGCACTCGAGTTTTATATCCCTGCCCATGGCCCCAGCCCCTGGGATAGATACGCACATCGTGCAGAAGAAATTCTCCGTTCCCCGTTCCCCTGCTTTTTCTCAGCTTCCCAATCAGGCTCCACCATATATCACCACCACAACGGGGGAAAAACACGAGTGAACAATTGCATGTGGACTAGCAGTAACTACTCTACATATTCAAACATGCATAAATAATGGCACCTGGTCTGGTGCTGTGGTGTCACATCAAAATCGCCAGCCTGTTGCTCTTCTCCTGTGCCAGCCTTACCAGGCTCCTTGCCGACTCCTGGCTCCACGCCATGCTGTTCCCCCCCAAACTCAGTGACTCCAAACACGACAGACCCAGCAGCAGATCCACAGCATCGTCACCAAGCTGCAGCAGTCCATTTTCACTCAGGTCCAATCTCACCAACCCTGTGGAATGAGCCAGCACCCCAGGGACAGCTGTGAAGTCGTTCTTGGTCAAATCCAACGACGTTAGGGAGGACAGGTAGCAACCCGGGGGAAGGGTTGATATCGAGTTTCCCCACAGGGACAGTTCAGTGAGCGTGCTGAGACCCACCACAGGCTCTGGAACACTGTGCAGCTCACAGCAGCCCAAAAGAAGACTGGCCAGTGCTGACAGGCCGCTCAAACCCTGGAGCTCGACGTCAGTGGCCTCCATGCAGTGGAGGCACAGGGATTCGAGCCAGGTCATCGTGGCCAACATCGCCACAGAGGTCGGATTCTCAATAGCCACGGTTCTCAGACTGGTCAGCATGGTGAAGCTCGGGAGGATCTGCTCATTGTTGATGGAGAGGGTGCCCAGGCTGCTAAGGTGGGCCCCCGATTCCGGCACCATCTGCACCTCTGTACCGCTGAGGTCGATCAGCTCCAAGTGTCCCCAGCAGTGGAAGGCGTCTGGTGGCACCACTGCTGAGACACACCCCCAGCTTGTGAGCCTCAGCTCAGTCAGCCTCTGAGGAAAGTTGACCAGCATGCTGCCAGTTTCAAGGCGGCTCTCCTTCTCTTTTGGCCAAGTGCTGAACCCCACATCCAGGACCTCCAGGCTTTGCAGGCATGAAAGCTGGCCTACAGGCTCCCAGGTGGGCAGACTCCTTGTCAGCTGCACTCGGAGTTGCCTGAGCCAGCAGAGACAAAGCAGGCCGTCCAAGGCGCCACAGCTGAATTGGCACATCGTCAGCTTCACAAACTTCAGGGAATGGCACAGCAATGCCATCAGCATGGGCAGGAGGGCTGGCATCTGGGCTGTGCGGAAGTCGACCTTGAAAATGTGCAGGGCTTCCACGGCCCTGGACCTCCTCACGAACCAGTTGACAACCTGCCTCCAATCCACCTTGCTTGATCCGCACCTGCTCAGCTCCCGTCCGCTCAGGAAGCATGTCCTCCAGATACTGTGCTCATTGCAGGACAGCGCATTCCAACGCTTGCAGACACAGGGCACAACCTGACGCCTGCGATGGGAACAAAATTTTCAGGGACAACCTTGCAGTTTTCGATGTCGATGACAACACAAAGGACATGCACATCGATGAATGCAGTTTGGAGCCAGCACTCCAGCGCATTCATTGCCTCCCCTGGGCTTATTCAAGGCTCTGACCTGTTGGTCAGCTTTTAGCAATCGTGAGCAAAGCGTTCTCAGCACCAAATGCAATTGCAGTGCTTTGCATCGGCAACAGTCTGTGCAAATGGGTTGCCAGCTGGTTGGAGGAAGGGCACACACAGCTTGAAGGGAGATGTGTTGCGGTTGGGAATTCATTGCCCGATTGTACTTCTAGTTGGAAAGGGTGAGCTGCACACTCTTATGTGCAAGGCTGGAACGACTCAGCAGCAGCAGAGAATGACATTCTGCCAGCAGCACTTTGGGTTGAGGAAGATGTGGTGGTCGGAATACTCTTGTTTTCCATGACAGGATCTGCTATGATCAACATATATATAAATGCTTGTGCCAAACCAATCAAGGGAAAGCGCAGCAATGGCATCTGCGAGGCGTTCTACCCCATCTGTGAGATGCTAAGAGGCGGGCTGCTGTTGTCGATGGAGGGACACATCCCACCAGTACCACTGACGCACCACAACCATGGAGGTTGAGGGCCATCCATGTTTTAGGCCGCAGAACACTGCACATCCACCCATTCGGCATTTTCAGCATGGCGTCAACCATCCAACGCTCCGCCCGCAGGCCCGCAACAACGAGGACCCCCCCGCCCTTTCCAGTCTCCCTTCCAGTCAAGCAGGCACCCGGCGCGCTCCAGCCCTTTCGAGGCGGTTCCACACAGCCGCGCCCAAGAGAGCCACGCCGCCCACCCAGCGGAAAGCACAGCGCACGTCCAGTACAACGGAATGCATTGGCGGCAAATGCAAATTCCTCCCACTCGTTCGAAATTCCATGCTTCGATCCGCCAACAACTCCCAACCAGCCCCGCGCCCCGTCTCCGTCCCCCTCTCTTCCCCTGCCACCTCCGGCCGTTGGCGCCCTTCGCTTTCACCTCAGCCCACACGGGCGTGATGCCACTGCGCGTGACTCCAAAAGCAACGCCCTCTTCCACCCGGACACCATCACCGCACCTCTAACGCCACGCCCGCCCCAAACCCCCGCTCCGCCCTACGACGGCTCCCTCTCCTATCCTCCCTCAAGGGCAGAAGAGAAGAAGACGCAAAAGCCGGCTCAAGGTCGGCCCGTCAAAATCTCACACAAGCGCGTCCGCGGACACACCCAATCCCCTCCCCCCCCCTCCGCGCGCGGCGCAACGGGCGGCGCGGGAAACAATCAACAAGCGGAGAGAAAGCGAACGCTCTGGACGTGCCTGTCGCTGCACACAGCGTTCAATCAATCGCCGCCTTGCCCGCCTTGGGCGAACCCAATCCCAGGCATGCCGGCGGCAGATCTCGGCAGCGTCGCCGCACCTCTCGTCGAAGGGCAGCCGGGAGAACACGTCCGCCAGCACGGCGTCAGGCAGCCCCTCCATGCTCGGGCCCCACCCCGCAGCCTCCGTGCTGGTGCGCATCCGATATCGGACGGGCAGCGCCGGAGCAGGACGTCAGGATAACCGGACCCGATTCGTCCGCCGCGAGCTATCGGGGGTTGTGCCCGGGGAGTAGGGGATCGGAGCGTTTTCCGAGAGGCGCCAGAGGCAGCGAGAGCCGCCAGCGCCGGCGGCCGCTTCGGAGAGAGGAGGGTGCGCCCGCGGGCCGCTCTCCGCTCGGCGTGTCGTTAAACATCGTGCCGCGGTTTCCTGCCGGTGTGTCGGTGTGCAGGGAGGCGTGGGCCGTTTGTTGGTGTGTCTGATGGGCGTCGAAACCATCAGTTGGGGAAATCGAATAGGCGAACCGCTTGAGCCGAAGTTCCCGGTGTGACCGCGGGCTGCTTTTGCTCATGCGAAATAGGGGCTGATGGCTGCCTCATTGCCTTGATGTGTAAGCCTTGTTCACGATGATGATGATTACCGTGCGCTGCCCCTGTGGAGATGATGGCTACCTCCTTGCCGCGACGTGTGAGAATTCTTGACAATGATGACTGGGGGCTGCGGAGGCGCGTTGTGGGACACTGGTTGGGACTCGTCGCAGGGGCCGCCACCAAACACGATGGGCACTCTGATGCGTCGGACGGCACGGGGGGGCAACGTAATGGATGGCGTGCCTGGGACCGCCACAACGTTGTCCATTGTGGCACTCCGTGAACTTTGACATGATTTTAAAATGATTTTAAAATGATTTTAAAATTGTCGCTGCGTTGCTCTGCGGCGGTCCCCCTGCGGAAAAGGAAACTACGTGGATCTGGCAAACGGCGTAGAAATGGCGGGCTGCTGAAGGGCCCTGCGGCATGGATGGACTCAGCAGTGCAGAAGCAATTGAGAATTCGAGTACCCAAACTGCTGGAGACAGGCGGTCCAGAGGCACCTGCCTGTTGGCACTTTCGTGTGGAGTTACTCCCCATGAGAAATACTCTATTTCTCTGGTCTTTTTCTTTTTTTTCTCCTTTTTCTTTTTCTGGGGAGGGCCTGGCCTTAGGCTGGGATAGCGAGCCCAAACAGTTATCAGCACCTCTTGGCGCAGGAAGTGCGCCTTGCCTTTCTTTTTCTTTTCTTTTTAAGGGGGCCGTGGAAGCAGGCTGGGAAAATCAGACCAAAGCCATTATCAGTACAGCTGGGAGTGGGAGATTCAATGCAACAAGGAAGAGGTCCATGCCATATGGACAGCCCTTCCTGAATAAAGTATAATTAAAGCGAGGTCTGTGCTGTGCAGTGGAATAATGTTTCATGTGAAAGATCACGCAGAAATTTCCAGAGACGGAATGAAAGCACAACACAGCATGCAATACAGCCCTCAGCCCGCTGGCCACACTGTAACTAATCCTTTGATTGCTTTCTTTAAAAGCGGCAGGGCGATATTCTTGGGCCTGGCAAGCGACGTGTTCATTTATCCAGAGGAAGCATGTCTTTTATGCGATCTCCACAAATGCCATCCCCCGAGTCCAAAAAGAAACATGACAACCGCTGTGGATTGCATATTCGATGCCCTGTGCCCTCAAGGGGGCTGTGCGAGATTTGGTCAAGATTGTTTTTGGAGACAATTTCAACGGGCCGTGGTAGGAATATGTGGGCCCACGGGCCTTGGGGGAGGCGGAATAAAAGCTGCACAACCAACACTCATCCGCTTGTTCCACAAAGATCGAACTCAAATCATTTACTGAAAAGTTTGGAGCAGGTTGACATATACGGGCCCTATGACCTCTACATCAATGATTGACTGATTTGAGGGTGTCTGGCTGTTCTAGCTGTCCATTTTGCTTGTAAGCACATTGTGTGTTGGCCTTGGCGTGCATGCTTTGTTGCACGCCAAATCACAATGGTTTGATAGATACAAAGGAGAGCAGATGACGATAGGCAGGCTTGGTTTTTACATTTACGTTTACGTTTTTACTTTTACGTTTTTACGCGTAAAAACGTAAATTTGCAAAAGGGCCTATTTTTACGGCTATTTTTACGTTTTTACGGCTCCCTGGCACACGTAGTTTACACGATGAAAGTTGCATACAATGATCAGTCCTCTGCCATCTCCATCACCCGGAGCACAATGTCCACCTCGCCGCGGCAAGGGCGATAATGGCGTTTAGCAAAAACTCGTTTTCTGCCTCTTCCAAGGCGTCTGGCTGCCACTCTCCGGACTCTGTAAATCTATATGTACTGTCCTTATGTACACCAGGCAGTTTTTACGTTGTATTTACGTATTTTTACGCATTTTTACGTGTAAAAACGTAAAAACTATTTTTACGCGTAAAAACGTAAATACGATCAGTTTTTACGGCGTAAAAACCAAGCCTGACGATAGGCATACATGATTGTTAGTAGTTGGGTGATAGTGTAACGAATGGATGTTATGGAAAGGAATTGAACTGAGTGTTATGACAGGTTGTCCAACATAGCTAAGAACCCAGTAGATGATACTTGAGAGACACAATTTTGTGCACGGACAACCGCGTCAAACAGTCGAGAGCCCGGGTGGACCACCAATGAGTGGTACCCCCCAAAAAACAGTGTTTCACACGAAAAACCATGTGCTAACATAGCCAACATGGGCGGTAGCCTAGCCTGCAAGACACGAACAACAATACACAAAACCGTGTTGGTACACAATGGACAGAACGTACAGATCACCAAAACTACACCCTGACCAAGGAGTACGTGATCACACATTACACGGTTTATAAAACCATGTAGTTTTCAACTTGATGAAAATACATGAAAGTGGCCCACCTCATGTTAATGGACAACACGATGAATAATATGGTTGCATATGATTTTAACTGTGTAACCAGCAGCAACTATTGCGCCCCCTATTGGGAGCGCCCTAGGATCCCCCTGGGAGGTGGGAGACGGGAGACACACAGATAACAAAGATTGTTACAATACTTTAATCTCAACCACATTTATAATGTTTGGTTAATCAAATAACATTAATTCACCATTCAAATGACCTATAAGAGAATCCCTAACCTAGCTATCATTAGGAACAACACAATGAAATGACTTATGTACTAAGATGCTACCTAGAAATAAGTCATGACAGCAACCGTGTAAAATCGGCTTCCAAAGTATACGATTTTACACGAATTTTATACGATTTTACACCGTGTGGAATGGCCAATTTGTTGCTAGTGTGTTTTGATCCGCATAGACCATTAGCCTTCTGATTCCTTCTACCGCTATGCATATCAATGTGCTTTTGAGCACCCCGTACACCACGGTTGCCATGCTTAGACTCTCTTTGGCCGCGCAGCTCGAGACATTACAAGTTCCCTGCATGACCATGGGTCGTAGCGCCTAAAAAGAATTTTGGCTTGGTCGTTGTCGATGTGTATGTCTCAATTGGAAATTAAAAGTTCGACTTGCAACTTGCCAGACTATTAGCGGTGTCTGGACGTGCAGTCCGACATTACTTTGTTGAACGCTGCCCCTCCCGCCATGTTGAAACCTAGAGTCACTAGCAAAAAAAAGAACCAAATACCACTTTTTGCGAGCATATTTGTATGAATTCCTCAGTGTTCCGCATGTTAAAAATACGGAAATAAACCAAACCCATGAATTTTGTACACTTTTGAACACGTGCTATTTGGCCCTTTTTTTCCTAGTGAGTTTGGCTCTTGCGCATGAGCACGTTCTGTGGAACTCTGTGACTACATGGTACACATTCATATGTGCAAGGGACAATGATCATTGTGATGAGCGGCGCATCCTTGGTTATCAAACGTTGAACTAACTCTGACGGCAAGTACACGTGTTGGCATATACAGACGTGACTACACATTTGCATAATGACATGGACATTCACGTTCGGCCGTGTAAATCTGAAATTCCAATGCCACAAACTTTTCTGGCCTGGTTTCAAGTATGCCATGACATGAAAAACATATGCTTCTCCTCTGTGACGCGAAGCATTATCCCGCCCTCTCGTCCTGTTGCAAAAATCCTTGTCCTCCTCCAATGCCCCAACAAAACGCCTTTGATCCAGATTCCACGTTGTGCTTGGTGCCTTGAAAGATGAAGCTCACGGATAGACTGTAGTCTATGTACTATGTCTACTAGACATACAAACAAATCACAGGTAGAGTACATGCAACAACTATGAAGCCCCCCTATCTCTATGTGCTGATTGCGATTCATCCATCCAGAGTGAATTCTATTCTATAGTGGTACACCAACCAACATTTGTGGCCTCCAACAAGCATATCCCCATGCGGTTGCCTCCATTCAATCAAAACAATTCTGGCACCCATTCCGCCCTGTCGACCAAACACCACAGCCAGGCGGCACCGTTTGGAGGAAGAAATCCGACCAGCAGGCACCCAACGTGCACACCTGTCACCCAGTGGCGCACAGTAGCGTGACCTTGATGGGTCGTGAGCGCTCCCAGACGACATGAACGCACAAGCATTCGCATGGATCCAAGATCGGGTTCCGGGGCACCGGGCGGCTTCCACGCCAGAGGCACCCAACGCAGCTCCAGAGGTCCTCCAACCTTCACGGCCCGCCCATCCCTCACGAAGGCCACCCTACACTCAGCCCGGCGCCTTCCACCGTCAACGCATCAGCCACCCATGCCGGAGTTGGCGTTCCAAAGATGGAATGAAATCGCCCCTGACGCAGGCCACCCAACGCTCAGCCGGGCGCCTTCCACCGTCGACGCATCAGCCACCCATGCCGGAGTTGGCGTTCCAAAGATGGAATGAAACCGCCGCTCGACGGAACAGCCGGGAACTCGACAGGAGAGAAGAAGCTCGAGACAGAACATAAGTGGCGCCGCGAAGGGCCTGCTCCATTCCCGTCCCTTGGAAGGGAGGGGGCATCAGTAGCACCACAGCGCATCGTCTGCGTCCTCATCGTCCGACTCAAAAATATCGTGGATCGAGCCGTAGCCCACGGCGTCCGCGTGCATTCCGCGCGCCCCGTACGCCATGCTGCACACGAAGCGGTCGAAGGGCAGCGAGCCGCCGCTGGCCAGGGACCAC